ATTTGGTATTCATCCAACCATTGGTTTGGAACCAAACTATGATGCCAGAGGGGATTCATCTTTGCTCTTTGCACATCAATCTCTTTCCCTTAAAGATACAAATAGGGGGAAGCTTGGTTCCATCTATAATATTAAAAACAGCATTAGTAAATCGAATGTAATGCTTAACAAAAAAAAAAAAAAGGTAATATCCTTGCAGCACATGTCAAAACGACCGTAAACCTATTTTTTTCATTGCCCATAGTACGAATATAAACAGTTTTTTCACCCTTCGGATTGACAGTAAAATTACCAGCTATGTCAAACCAAACAGGTGTTTCATCCATATTAAAAATACCACCTAAATCAAAAACCTTTTGGATTCTAAGATGAATAATATATTGGCAAAACTTTTCCAACAACTTTTAAGTTTGTTCAGGAAGTTTTTGGAAAATCTTTGTACATTGTCACAGTGCTAGATTATTTCTTTTCATAAATGTGACCACCTAACGAAGTGATGTTTTGAATGTCTTCACAGAATCATTATAAAGAGGTACCATGTCTGGTTGTTTAAAAATCTCTATCATTTGATTTTGTATAGCCTTATAAGTTACAGCCAATGCCTGTTTTTTTTGCTCAATAATCCATGTATACAGGATTTTTTCAGAACCAATCTGCTTGCTTTGGTTATTGGTTTTAACCATCCATTTGAAACTTGCTTTTATCCAATGTCCAACCATACTGGTATCAATATTAAAGTTGTTTGTGGCCTTGTTTCTTCCATATTATACTGCATAGTTAACAACTTCTAACTTCTGTACAACAGAATAGGAAGTTCGTGTTCATTTAGTGACTTTAGTTTTGCACCTAGTAATTTGGTTTGTTTCATTTGAAGGACCATTTTCTTTATTATATTGTGCCTATATTTTAACAAAATTATTGCTATGGACAAGTAGTAGACTTTTTTGACTTGGTTTAGGAATGTTTCTTTGACTTGGTTTGGAAATATTTTTTTGACTTGGTTTGGGAACATTTTTTTGACTTGGTTTGAGAATGTTTTCCTGATCTGGTTTGAAACTATTTCTTTGACTTGACTTGGAGATGTTCTCTTGATTTTGTTTTTAAGTAGATTGGCACATATTAATGCTGTTCAACTCTTTTTTTTATTTTTTATTTTACTTTTTTACTTTTTTTTTTTCTTTTTCTTTACTAAAAATTATTGCTTACGATCACAAGCTGTTTTCTCTCCCTTCATTAGGTTTCTGATATAGAGGGAACTGTTAAACTAGTGTGACCACTTTTTCTTTACAATTTTATCTTAAAGGTTAAGGTTTGATTTTTTTTTTTCTTAAGATTTTAAGTTAAGGTTAATAATCAATTTCTAGCAAGTTCTATTATAATATTGGTCACAAGAGATAAAAAGGATGTTAGTCAAATAATTTTTATGTGAGAAATCATGAGAGAAATCATGAAAAATAATCATATGATTATTATAATAGATTTTATGTACAAGAGCAAACAAAAATTAATTTTGCATAAAGGTATTTTTTAGTTTATTGAATTACCCAAAAATAAGCAACCTTATAGCAAAAAAGAGGTGCTTATTTTCAAAAAAAATACAGTATATATAAATACAACAATTTTTTAATGAATATAGTTTTATTTAATAAAGATTTCCTAACCAAAAATTGCTCAAGACAACCTGTCATAACAACTGTTTACTTCTTTTAGAATCTTTAACTTTCTAAGAATTTTGTATAATAAAGATACTCTCTTGATACTTTGCTGACTATTATATACTATATTCTTAAAGGGCACAAGACAAAAGAGAAAATTTTTCAAAAAGGTTATATAAAATAAATAAAAAAGAAAAAACAGAAAAGAAAAAAAAACAGACACAAATTACAAAAAAGAAAAACAGAAATATATATATATATATAAAATAAAACAAAAATAATAGTACTAATAATGCCTGCACTAGGCCTAAAAAATTATTTACTACTTTTAAATTTAGTTTTACTCTAAACTTAGTGCATAGTATATATAATAATTAAGCAAAAAAAAGTAAAAACTCTGTAAAAATTTTTAAAGCTGAGGTCTGAAAAATTGATACTTGTTTTCTTTTTATGCATAAGTATACATGTAAGCCACACATGATTATTCTAATTTTCTTTCCAATTTGGTAATAATATACAATGTAGATCTTTTAAAGAGATTTCTTAAAAAAATTTCAAACATAATAGAAGTAATAAAAAGAGGACTTTTGGTTATTTGCACTTTTAAAATTTTTAAAAGAGTGTGTTAAATAAGCAGCACTTTTGTTGTTTTCCTGTTTCTTTGTAGAAGTATAGCCTAAGAGCTTTATTGATGAAAAAAAGAGTATTGAAAATATCAAATATACTAAAAAATCCTTCTTTTCACTAAGATTTTATATACAAGAGCCCTACCTGCTAGTTATTTTGTGAATGTTGCCTGTAGAGGAGTTCCAGAAGATAGAACAATTAACCTCTAGACAAACCACTATGTTAGGCCATGACTCTTCAACAAAAGTTGTGTTTCCTTTAGTGAAAAATTTTGGTACAGGTGATTATTGGGAAGAGATTAAAAATTAAATAGTTTGTATTGAAATTATATTATGATTTTGATATTTATTATATTAAGTATAATTCTAAACAAAGTCACATGCTACTATATAATTATGTACAAATTTATAAAATTAAATACTTGATTCTGATCTTTGCTTAGATCTTTCATTCCTAGTTTTGCATAGTGACATTGTACAATTATCTAGTTTTTAAATTAATATTTGCCAAGTGGATTCAGAATCAACTTTAAGTTTGAAATTTCATTATGATTCAAATGAATTAAATTTTAGTTTAGCTTAAGTTGATTCTAAATCTACTAGATTTTAATTTAGTAATCACTATGTGAAAAAGCCTGTCAATAAAATGACAGGGTAATCATTATTATGAGATCAGATTACATGTCCCAAATTGTCAGTTATAAAATTTGGTATGATCTTATAGATTCTTGCTAATGCAAGTATTTTTCTGGTTAACATAATGATTGCATATGATTGTTGGAATACAAATTACTATATCTATTGGAGAATGGTAAGGAAAACAAGAGATAATTATATAGTTCTAAGCATGTAATCAGTAATGTATTTAAGGGCTTTTAGTTAGTAGAGAAGGTTACCTTTTTTTCGCTATCACTCACCTTGTAATTAAGGCTGGCTCTATTGTTCCATTCCTCCAGCCCATCTCTCAGTAACTCATAAACTAAGAGCAATATATTGATATTTGTTTAGGAGGCTATTGGTTGGTGTTGTTAGGCTCTGTGGCTGCCACTAGAATCCCACATTTGGCAATTAGGCTTCAGCCACTGTAGGCAATGCAAGAACTTCAATTGCTCCACGATTGCAAGGACCTCATGTTTGACGACTAGACTCTGTAGCTCTTGTATGCAGTGCAGGGACCAATGTCCTAGTTTCATTTACGTTGCTAGATAATACTGTATAGCTGAGCTAATTCTTTTTATAGCCTTTTGGCTACAATCTGTCTACGATATAGAGAGATGGATTAGTTTATCGATATATATTATTTGTTTGAGATGAAATATTAGATATTTTAGCATAATTAATAGAAAGATTGTAAGGCCTGTAATGATAACAAACAGAATCCCGTATGTTTCTTTGTATAAATAAAGTCAGCTGATCGACAATAAAAAATTTTCGCTCAAATCTTTTGTGACCAGTGATTATCATTCATCAACCCAATAAAAATCCTATGAAAAAAACGAAAAATACCAAATATAAGATAAGCAGACAATTAATTCTACATCGGGTTACCAATTTTTGTGTCAAAAAATTTTGCTTTTACTATCGTTAGTTATTGCAACTGCGATATTGCGATTCTTTGTTTCTAAATTATAATTCTGTAATTACGTACCTGCGTGCATATGACATTTTGTCGAACTATGCCATACTATTATAAAATTTAAGGCGTGATGAATTCATATGTAAAAATAATAGCGTGATGAATTCATATGTAAAAATAATAGCGTGATGAATTCATGTGTGAAAATAAACAAAATTTGACGAATAAGTCATGAGGACCAATCAAACTTAAGATTTTGCGGATGGATACCTTCAAACAGCGTATAAACCATACACTTCATGATTGTATCACTCCGTTCCTAACTACATGTTCTTTTATATGATAATTTGGCCAGATGTCCCAGGATTCATTATAACAGCTTGTAAATATAATAATTTATATGCAACTATAGATGCAGGCAAATTGTCCCAAATTGTCGTAACTAGTTGCAACTAGGATGCGAGAAATTTTGAAGGTTATAAAAACAGTGTTCTCTCACACGCCTGCTGCTAATAACAAGCCTTCAAAGTTAACCGGGTCGGCCCGGTTAACTTTGAAAGCTTGTTACTGGCAGCAGGATACAAATGGAGCCTATTTGCTAAAAAGTATGTTTATCTTACTAAATTCATATACTGATTCGGCTTAAGTACCAATTGTGGAACACTGTTTTATAGCCTAGTTGCAACTTAGTTAGTTATGGCTTAAGCCGTAACATATTGGGGCATCATTGAGACGATTCGCTTATACCTCTATATGAACTACAAAACTTTGATTTTCAGGACTGTAATTTGGGATTATGATTTTCTGGATTATGACCTTTCGGGATTAGATTATGAACTTTCGGGATTACGACCTCGGGATTTTATTTTTCGGGATTAGATTTTATTTTTTCAGGATTTATTTTTCGGGATATTACCTTTTCGGGATTTTGCTCTTTCGGGATTTAGTACATCGGGAGTTAGTACCATCGAAATTTCGATGTTCGGGATATTGACCCAAAATCGCATTTAAGGAAGGCCTAAAGACCTTCAAGTAAAGTAGAAGTCATATACCTCTTTTGAACACCTCTCATAATAAAGAGAAATATCATAAATTCATTCTTATAAATAAATTGTCTATCTAAATATTTTTTAATGATGCTCTTCAAACTAAGTTAACACTGGTTTCTGAATTTTGGTTTTCATTTTGACCTTCACCTTCATCACCGAGTTTCTTCACACCATTTGACCCGGTTCTTGAACGTTGGCCTTTACCTTCACCACCTCATTTCTTATTCACACCATTGGAAGGACCCAAACAATATATATTGGCTTTAATATAAGCTTTTTGCAAATTTTAATTAGAGCCAATTAACCCTATTTTACATATGGGGTCTGTTCCTTGAAAATCAAGTTTTGATCATATGATTTACTATGTCCCGTAAGGTCATTTTCAAGGAACAGACCCATATAAGCTTTAATATTTAAATAACTTTACCTAATTAACAAATATGACAATGATTTATTTATTTTTTTTTTATTCAAAAAATTTTTTAATTTGAAAAAATTCTCTTTATTGCTTTTTCTATTTTATTTGTTATCAAATTTTAAATAATAATCTATCTAACCTATCTAAAATTTACTAATTTTATCTACTTTTGATAACATTAAATATAATCTTTTAACCAATAACCACTTTTCAAATATAAAATATTGTAAAAAAACGACCTTTTTATTCAAAATTTAATATAACCTTTAAATGTATTATTCAGAGTCCATATTGGACCCGGTTCCAGAACTTTGGCTTTTACCTTCCCCACCACGCTTCTTATTTACACCATTGGAACCGTTTCCTGAACCTTGGTTAGCACCATTGCCATTGGAACCATTTCCTGAACCCTGGTTATCACTATTGCCATTGGAACCGTTTCCTGAACCTTGGTTATCACCATTTCCATTGGATCCGTTTCCTGAACCTTGGTTATCACCATTTCCATTGGATCCGTTTCCTGAACTTTGGTTAGAACCATTTCCATTGGATCCGTTTCCTGAACCTTGGCTACCACCGCGTTTCTTATTTACACCACTGCCATTGGATCCGTTTCCTGAACCTTGATTAGCACCATTGCCATTGGATCCGTTTCCTGAACCTTGGTTACCACCATTGCCATTGGATCCGTTTTCTGAACCTTGGTTATCACCACTGCCATTGGATCCGCTTCCTGAACCTTGGTTAGAACCACTGCCATTGGATCCGCTTCCTGAACCTTGGTTAGAACCACTGCCATTGGATCCGCTTCCTGAACCTTGGTTACCACCATTGCCATTGGATCCATTTCCTGAAACTTGGTTAGCACCACTGCCATTGGATCCGTTTCCTGAACCTTGGTTACCACCGCGTTTCTTATTTACACCACTGCCGTTTCCTGAACTTTGGTTGGCACCATTTCCATTGGATCCGTTTCCTGAACCTTGGTTATCACCATTGCTATTGGATTCGCTTCCTGAACCTTGGTTAGCACTTCCTGAACCTTGATTATCACCACTGCCATTGGATCCACTTCCTGAACCTTGGTTAGCACCACTGCCATTGGATCCGTTTCCTGAACCTTGGTTACCACCGCGTTTCTTATTTACACCACTACCGTTTCCTGAACCTTGATTATCACCATTTCGATTGGATCCGTTTTCTGAGCCTTGGTTATCACCATTGCCATTGGATCCGTTTCCTGAACCTTGGTTATTACCATTGCCATTGGATCCGTTTCCTGAACCTTGGCTATCACCTTGGCCTTGCCCGCCACGTTTTTTATATACACGTTTCTTATTTACACTGTTGGATCCATTTCCTCCTTCGCTATAACCATTTCCTCCTTCATTTCCAAAGCCTTCACCTCTACCGACTTTTACGTTTAAATAGAAATAATGTCAGTACATAACAAAAATTGATGAAAATAAAATACAAAATTAAAATATAAATAATAATTACAAAGTAATTCTTTGCTATATGCTATTATAAAGAGATTGAATGAATTTTAATAAATATATGTGACAATTTATAAAATATCATAAATCTAGAAAAAAAAATAATACCTCGCCTAGTTGGAGCCGCTATTGTGGTAGAGGAAGAGAGTAAAAGGATCAAACATACTGTAGATATATTTAACTTCATTATTTTTGATTGTGATTTTAAAAGATGTTTTTTACAATTATTTGTATTATTGTTTTTTTTTTTTCGTGAGTGAGAGAAGTTATATTTTTTAAAGAAATGAAAATGTTTGTGTTGAGTTGAAAGAGGGCTTCGAAAGGTTGTTTATATAAGAAATTTTGGATTAGCATTTAAATATGTAACATCATTTCTTTTGATCAATTACTTTGGCGAAATATTACTAAAACAGTTGATTATTTCTTTTTTCTTTTTTTTTCATTATTGCTAAAACTTTGATTCTTTTTTTTCTTCCCATCACTGCATAAAGATCTTAAATTAGGACAAGATTTATCTAAAGTTTTGATAGTCAAAATAGTGAAATTATTATTTTGAATTAAGTTTTTTTTAATTTTATATTATCATAAATAGAAAATGCAAATAAATATGCGTACTTTCATGTCAACAATATTGAAGCATTGTCGACGCTTCATGATTCAGAATTATAAATATATGATAAAGTTATTCAACTTTATTAACTTTGTACCGAATTAATATAACTCTTTATTAACGTCAAGGCGTTATCAGAAAAAGGATCTTATCTAATTTTTACCCCAAAAAACGATTTACTATTTATGTCAAATTCTGCAAGGGGGAGGAACTTATAATTAACTCATGCGTGCATGCGTATGTACGTATGTATGTACATACATGCGTTATGATTTTTTTTAACCAGTGTGGCACACTTCGACAATAATTTTACCGAAAGCTTATTTAGCCAACACATATTAGCTATTGGTATTTATTTTTAGTAAAATTATCATCTAATTTTATGTCGGCCAAATAGCTGTCAGTAAATGATTGTTGGTGAAGACGGACCCGATTTTAGCATTGTAAATACTGAAAATATATTTAATCAGCAGAACTCTAACATCGTAAATATAGGATAGTCATAAGATTCCTAGAAGATCTCAAAATACAAGTAAAAATAATTAAAAAAAGCAATGGGGATTTACGGAGAATATCGTTGTTTTTGTACTTGTCACACCTTAAATTTGCGTTGTACAATTGACCTTTTTTGATTTTCAGTCTCGTGTAATGTGCCAACTTTTTAAAAACAAAAATAACAAGTATCTTTACATATAATGATTTTAATCACTCTACTTAGTCTTTGAAAGTAAATAATAAAATTTTAGCTATTATGCACAACACTGACTCGAGCAATCCATCTGCATTAAATTTCTAATTTACGAAACACAAATCTTGGCATCACATCGTCATAATGCGTATAATGTAAATAGAAAAGTCCGGAAAAGTTAAATTTTTATTTTTAACTTACATAATGCATACATTAAATGTAATTTTATTATTTTGGACAAAATTTGCGTGGAAATTTAATATTTTCTATATTATGTGATAAACAGTATAGTATCGATAGTGCCGAAAATAGTAACTAAAACCATTAATATCGATATATAATTAATTTCATTACATGATAATATTAAAATGCAAACTTATTATTTATAAAAATATAATCGTTTCTATCATGATATAATGCACCGAGGCGTTATTTCGGACATAAGTTTTTTCTTACTTTGGTTTCATTAAAATTATAAATCATGACAATGATGTTAATAAAATAATAAAGAGATATCCTATTCTTTATAATTTTATTTTTTCGATTCTTAAGACTATAAAAAATAGCATTCTATAGTGCTATTTACGCTATCTACAAAGAAAAGATCAATCTTATTTAATAAATATTACTTTTAGAGCTCGCTTTATGACAGAGAAGATTCTTATTAAAAATATTACCGTAAAATCCGGACATGTATACCCCCCATGCGGTGTACCCCTTGCCAATTTGAAGCGCCAGTTCGTGACTTATACCCGGGTATATAGGTATTATACATACTATATGTACGTATCACTCAGGTAGATATAGTCTCAATACGGCGTACCCCCCATATAGAGGTACCCCGGGTACTAAATTGAGTAATGAAAATACCCGGGTACACGTGTCCGGATTTTACAAATTTATTGTTACTTAAGCAGAGATTGGCTAATGCCAAGCCTTAGACTATTTTAAATTTAGTTAGGGCTAATGTTATTAATAAAAGACATCTGAATTTTAGTCGGCGTTAATATATTTAAATAGAGACTCTAATATTAGCCGAGACATTCACTATTAGTTTTATTAAGATGCGAACTTAACGTGAAAGTAAAACAGGTCTATTTATACCTCGTGAAATAATATTAGATGCCATACTAGGTGCTATTTATATCTCGTGAAATGATATTAGATGCCATTATTCTTAATAAATCTTTAATGGTTCGTAATATTGAGGGAAAGTGCCCAGGTCTCTTATATCCAAACCTAAGATTGAATTTCTTTCATAGTGGATCGAGATTCGCCTCCGTGCAAATTTTTTTGATTTAAATTGGGCATATGAAAATCTTATACGACCAATTGAGTGCTGCTACTAAGGGAAAATATGTCTCAATTATACTTAGCCGACATCACGCCAAGTGACAATTTAGTAAAAACATACCTGCAATTAATAAAACGCTAACCCTAACCCTATGTGATGTCGGCTAAGTGAACTGTCGGTGAAGTGAGCAGCACCAGGATATGTCGGTGCAAAATATAATTGATTTAGCACACTGTTAATTTTTATACTTCTTTTTATTAATTATGTACTTCACGCAAATATTACAACACATAATAACATGTATTCATTTCTGCATTTATGAACGGTTGAAAACTTTTATATTATTTATAAATTTGCATGTATTAATGTTTGATAAATTATACATTTTATTTTTTTTTTGGAAGCTTTTCTTTCTTACGTGCTTTCATTTTAGTTGGTCGACATTTTCTTGAGAAATTTTACGATTTTTTCGTTGGACTGATGCTGGTTGTAATCGAATTTTTGTTCCACTTCATATTGATTCGTTTTTACGATAGATTTCGTTGATAGAGAGATAAACAGCCAGCTTGTCCGATGATAAAGATTCAGCTTTTTCATGTTCTTTCTTAGCTGCATAGCGCTCTTTGATATTTCCTTAAATTCGCTTAGCAATTAAGACACCTCTTTTCTGTTAAAATCCACTTCAATATTATTTTTTCAAATTTAACCATTGGCTCAAGTTCAATGCAATTTTTTTATTTTATAAGAATTATTAAAAGTATTTTTTGTAGTGGAGTAGGTAAATCAGACAAGTTGGACGAATCAGTTTGCATTATTATTATTATTATTATTATTTTATATGAAGCGAAATATGAAGCGAAATATAAAGCAAAGTATGAAGCAAAATATAAAGCAAAGTATGAAGTGAAATATAAAGCAAAATGAAGCGAAATATGAAGCGAAATATGGAAGTAAATATGAGGGTAGTTTATTTAATTAATCGATGATATCATTAATGATCGCTTGGATTGATTTCCGGACAATTGAAGCACAACCTGGTACATATTTTCGATTTGCGGATTTCCTAGTCCATTACCCATATAAAAATAGTTCAAAATTTCAGCATCAGGCTGTGACATTAATTTTATCCATTAAATAACTGGTCTTACGTGCCTTAAAAAGTGACCCAGTTAGATTATTATATTAGGTTTGAATAAAATCCACGATCCTATTATGATGTAAAAGCTGATATAATTCAAGTAATACATGTGTTCTTGTAACTTATTTTGTATATAAACCAAAGTGTGCACATTTTTTTTATACAACCAAGCTGCTAGTGGAAAATCACAGAATTCATGATTACGAATTTAAAGTTACAGTATCTTGTGTCACTTGCGCCTCTTTAGTGATAACAAACAGTCTATCCTAGATTTTTGATGCACAAAGACAAGTAAATGTTTACGTACGTACGTTGTAAAGGGGCCCGGGTGTCCGCGATACAAAATTTTTCTTTTTTTGTTAGTTTATTTTAATTACGAAGTTGGGACAGTATGCGTTACTAAAAATTGGAATTTCATACCTTGGTACAAATTTGCACCTGGTGCAAATTTGTATCCAACTAAAGCCAGGTGCGATTTTGCACCTATTCATGCAAGCCAGGTGCGATTTTGTACCTAGTCGTCTGAGCCAGGTACAATTTCGTACCAGATCGCTCTTCTTATTTTAAATTTGTTGAAATTAGAATCTAAAGAACATATTAGAATAACAGACATTAGTAAAAAATATTCCTGTACGCAGTAAAGGTCATAAAGTATTTAAGACCTATCTTTTTGCCATAATAAAAATACAACATCGAAATCTTTTCAGTAGAAGTTGGGTCTATAGAACCCTTGATCCCAAAATTGTCCATCATAAATCGTTCATAAGAAATCGTTTTCGAATTTCCTTGCCCCATGATCCATTGAAAAATCACCATAAGAATAAAGAGAGAAAGAGATATTCAATTAGTAATCAAATTTATTATATAGAGAAAGCAATTAAACTCTTGATCGGATTTCATCATTATTGCATATTACTAGAGATGGGCTATTTGTCAATATACATTATTACTTATCATTAAGAAATATTACCACAAAATTTTATTACATAGTGGTAATAATAAGTAAAAAATGGAGTATTTTCAAAATAAGCCTGATTGGATTTAAATTATATCATTCAAGTTGTATTTGTGAATTATAATAAGTAATAATCAGTTGTAATAAGCAATAATAAGTTCTGATATATAAAAATATGTAAGGGTAAAAAAATATGTATTTATTACTTATTACCTTGCCTATCTCTACATATTAGTATTGTTTGACTTTTCCAACGATTATTTGAAATCATCAAAGTCTTGTGACATGTGATCTGATATGAAGTACATATTAGAAAATAAGCAAAAGATTGAACAATTAGTACTAGAATTATGCAACAAAACTCAAGTAATGCCTGAATAGAAGTAAAAGATGACTTATTACAGCTTAGATATTGTTTTTACAAGACCCAAAGCTTTGAAAACTCAGACTAGGTCTCATTATGCCTCAATCATCACCTTCCATATCTAGAGCCATGTCTTTGTTCTTTAATAGAGTTTTAGTGTTTGTTAAATAGATAGAAAGTTAGTTATCACCTATTATTTTTACTTTTACAACATATGGGACTGTTGCAGTAGAAAGGGCCGAAACTCAGAAATATATAATTTTGAGAAAATTGTGTTTACTTTTTCGGGCTGATCTGGGTTAATCAAAAATTATGCGATTTGATTGGCTGGCAATATCAGGTAATCTTGTGACGTACAAGTATTCTAAAAAGTTTTTTTAAAATATCTTGATTTTTTATTATGCAAACCAATTTCCATTTTTAATTGAAAAGTATAGCCCACCTCAAGATTAATCAGAATCTTGAAAAAACTCAAGTTTGATTTTTAGGAAGTTTGGGCCCTTTCTACTGCAACAGTCCCATATGTATATATGTATATACATACAAAGTTAATACATCACAGAGGACCAAGAAACCCAGTGATATTTTAATAATAATTACATCACTTGATAAAATGTTTGGGCTATATTAGAGTTAGGTAATAGATTAGTTTAGGCTAATTTGTTTAGCACTAGCAAACAAATAATGTAATTGTATGATTTTATGTGGTGTAATGATCACTGAGTTTCTTGTTCTTCAAGTGTTCTGTATCACAGTAGCTAAGTATAATATTCATAATATATATTTCAAAAGCATTTAATCTGGTAAATATTGTAAAAATATTTTTTTTAATATTTTTTTTGTATCTTACTAAAAAACCAAATTTTTATTCTTGTTCTACTTAGAACTATTCATTTCTAATTGAGAAGTTTAAATAAAAATTTATAAGTTGTTTATTAACAACAACAAAGAATCTTATTTAGGGTTCCTAATGAACCTGAGTTCAAAGTTTATAACATGTTTAAAGTTTAAATAAAGAAAAAAGCATATAATTGCAAATATAAAAATACTTATATCTTGTGATATACTGGGCTAATTTTTTAACATTTTAACTACCATTCTGTTTCCAAGACACTTCTCTACAACTTAAGTATTGAAAAGAGGTTTACTTAGTACAGTCTGACAATTTACCAAATTAGAAAATTAAGCTCTAGAATAATCCACACATTAATCCTCATATCTAATTGGCTATTACATATGTCATACTGGCTTTAATCTGCACTTTGGTGTTTTACAAAAAAATTCTTTTAAATAATTATTAGATAGTGCAAGTTTTCAAATAAGCAGTATATAACATCTAGTTTTGTTAATCTCATTTAATCTCTCAGACAAACCTGTTTTGCTTAAAGTAAATAAAACATCATAAACTAGTATTTTTTAGCTAATACGAAATGTAAAGCTTTGTTACTGTTTTAATTCAGACAGAATTCCAGAAAAAGCCCATCATGTTAAAACAAGTAAGTATACAAAGTTAGCTAAACTTTTTATTTAATTAGCTTTGAGGTAATATATAGTTTATTAAACCTATTAAAATCTTATATATAGGTTATATAAAAAAAAGCATAACACACTATGGTTAGAACAGGACATAGTACTATGATTAAAATAGGACATCACACTATAGTTAGAACAGAATATAGCACTATAGTTAGAACAGAACATAGCACTATAGTTAGAATGGAATGTAAAATAATGGTTATAATAGAGTGTAGCATGATAGATAGTTAGAACAGAATATAAAGCAACAGTTAAAACAGGATATAGAATAATAGTTAGAACAGGATATAGAGTAACAGTTAGAACAGGGCATAGCACAATAGTTAAAACAGGATATACTGTAGTAGTTAGAACAGGATATAGCATAAAAGGTAGAACAAACATAGCACAATAGTTAAATTTAGGATATAGTGTTATAGTTAGATTTGGAACATAGTATGATGGTTAGATTCAAAATGTAGCATAATAATTAGATGGAATATAGCTTGATAGTTGGATTTGGGAATAGCACAATAATTAGATTTGGGATATACTACAATAGTAAGGCTTAGAACAGAGTACAATAATTAGATTCATACATATCATACGATTCTGAAATTAAGCACCCTCAAAATTAAGCACCACCAAATTTTGTATAATATTCAAAAATATATATCCCTAAGTAGATTCATATTAGATTTTTTTATTAAGCAAATCTACTATCTGTTTCTAAATAAAGGTATTCTTCAGGTAAAGATAATTCTAATAGTAGCAAAATCATCAAAATCGGTTTAGTAAAACTTTTACAATTATTCTTTAAATTTTAAATGATATTTACTTACATGACTATAGATTATATAAGA